TTGCTTAATTTGAAATCCCCACAGGTGATTTTGATGGATATATGACAGGTAGCATTTCTCCTGCTCTCTCTACCGGTGTTAAATCAATGAAGGAACTGGAGTCAAGATCTCCTGGGTTCAAATCCTGACTCCATCACTTATTTGAGTGAGTTCAATCTCTCTTGCCTCTGTTTTCTTATCTATAAGATGAGGATAGTTATCAGTACTTACTATATAGGATTAAGTGAAATAATAAATGTATAGCACTTGGAAGAGGGTCTGCCACTCAATAAATGTTAAGTTATCATCATCAACAACAATTATAGGCCAATGCCTTCCAAATCTCGTATCTTCAGCCCAGATTTCTCCCAGTGCTCCAAATTATATCAACTGCCTCTTGGACATCTTTCCTTGGATAAGATTCTGGGCATTGCACACTTATGTCTAAAACCTATCTTTTTTTTTTCTTTGCAAATCTAGGCTCCTTATCTCCAAGTTTTTCTATTAAATCTTAAAATAGTATAACCATGTCAAGTTACTCAAATCAGACTTGAATCAACCACCGAAACCTGCTGATTGTATCATCTCCGTTTCCATGTCCTACTACCATTGATCTAATTCCCTGTTACTTTCTTTTTCTTCTGTACTACTACTGCAGCTTTCTACCTTATTTCCCTCTCTTTTGTACACCACAAGCTGGTATTATCACTTCCCCTGCTTAAAAACACTTTAATGCCTCCTTACCCCTCTACTTCCAACCTTATGCCTTTCATGATTAAGTCTAAATTTCTTAATATAGTTTACTAGATTTTCAGTGAATGGACTGCTATTTTCCTTTCTGGTATATATATTTTTCTACCTCTTACCTCCCAAACCATGCTCCATTGTACAGAACTTGTCATGCTTGCTTCTTTCTCTCTTGCCACTTCTCTAGGTCCGGGAAAGCTCTTTCCTCCCTTCCTCTAGCTCAAAATATGGTCTGTGGACTACTGGAGGACTTGAGACCTTTCCAGGGGGTCTTCAAAATCAAAACTATTTTCATTGGGGTGGCTGGTTAGCTCAGGTGGTTAGAGCACAGGCTCATAACACCAAGGTTGCCGGTTTGATTCCCACATGCATGGACCAGTGAGCTGCACCCTCACAACTAGATTGAAAACAATGACTTAACTTGGAGCTGATGGGTCCTGGAAAAACACACTGTCCCCCAATAAAGTTAAAAACTATATATTAAGGCAATTCATGTTAAAAAACCCCTATTTTCATAATAATATTGACATTATTTGCTTTTTTCACTGTGTGAACATTAGCACTGATAATGCAAAAGCAATGGTTTGTAAAACTGCTGGCATCTTAGCAGGAATCTAGACAGTGATACTGACTGTGCTAGTATCCATTTTGTTCCTCACTTGGAAAAAAAACCGAGTTTCACCTAAGAAAGGCCTGGATGAAGCAGTAAAAAATTAATTATGGTAGATTGAATAATGGCCTCCAAAGATGTGTACTTCCTAGTCCCCAAAACCTGTGAATATGTTACCTTACTTTGGCAAAAGGGACTTTGCATACTCATATGTGATTATGTTAAGGATCTTGAGATGGTATGGATAGCTTAGATTATTTGGGAAGTTCAATGTAATCATAAGACTTCTTATAAGAGGGAGACAGGGTCAGAATCAGAGAAGATGTGACCACAGAAGCTGATGAAGGGGAGAAGAGAAAGGTGTAGAGGAAAGGGAGGAGGAGAGAAGAGAAGGGAAAGAGGAGGGAGAGGAAGGGGAGGAAAAGTACACAAGAGATTGAATTATAAGCTGATTTAGCCACTTAAAATAATGGAACATCATTTTTATGCGACAGAACAAATGACAGGTCAACAGTTGTTATTCAGATTTGGAAATATTACAGACAGTTTCTTAAAAATGAATAAATGAGCTTAACACTTAAAACAACTGACAGTGTTTGTTGTCAAAGACAAAATTTGAGCATTTTGGAGAACTTGTATTCATCACTGTGAGTTTGGCAGTTTCCCGAGACTTAAAGACTTTTTCTGATGGGTCTGTGAAAATAATGAATATGATTTTTAGATATTGTATAATGAAATGTGCCAATATTTAGGAGATCTGTAAGATCTAAATGACCAATCCGTGGTGTTACAAAATTACATATGGGTATAGAATCTACCCAAAGTGGAAGATAGAGCAATGGATTTTTTAATGTAACAGAACACAGAAAGTTCATTGACATGGTTTCAAGTTCCACATTTCAATTAAGAAAACTGCCACTTGTCGAGTTTGGATGTGGTATCAAAGAAAATATTCAACTATCTGAAAAAGCTATTAAACCACTCCTCCCCCCTCCTCCAATTATATATCTGTGTGAGGCTGGATTTTCTTTACATAGACAAATTGCAAAGAATATGGCAACAATTGAATGAAGAAGTAGCTATAACTATTTTGCTGTCTTCTATCATGTAGGGCTTAAAGAAATTAAAGACATTTGCAAAAAGAAAAAACACTGCCACTCTTCTCACTAGTTTTTTAAAATTTATTTAGAAAACATGGTCATTTTTTATACACATATTATTTGTGCCCAACAAGGGCTTATATATTTCAATGAATTAATACATATTTTAATTTTTTTCTCAGTTTTAATTTCTAATATGTTAAATATAGATAGAAGTAACATATAAACAAAAGCGCTTTGCGTTCTTCAGTAATTTTTAAAAGTTTATAGGAGTCCTGGGACCAAATTGTTTAGGAATTGCTGCTGTAGCTGATGCAAACTTACCCTTTGAATTTCAATTTAGATTTCATTTTACTTTAAAAGATTTTCACAGTCATCTTGGTTGGATGTATATGTCCTACCTGCTCCCTTAATAATACCTTATTTATTATAAGCTGCTTGTCTCAGGGCCATTGTATCTTACTTTTGTTTTTTTCTATAATAGTTTTATTGAGATATAATTAACATATCATAGAGTTCACCTATTTAAAATGTGCAATTTTCAGGGCCGGCCCAGTGGCTCAGTTGGTTAAGAGTGTGAATGCTGAGCAACAGGGTCACCGGTTTGATCCCCACATGGGCCAGTGAGCTGTGCCTGAGCTGAACTGCCGCTGAGGTAGTGAGAGTCTGTGCTCCTAGCAGCAAGGTTGCCGGTTCAAATCCTGCATGGGATGGAGGGCTGTGCCCACCCGCAACTAAGATTGAGAGCGATGACTGGACTTGGAGCTGAACTTGTGCCCTCCACAACTAAGATTGAAGGACAACAACTTGACTTGGAACTGATAGGTCCTGGAAAAACACAATATTTCCCTTCCCCAATTCCCAACATGGTTCCCCTCCCCAATTCCCCAATAAGAACCTTAAAAAAAACAAAAACAAAAATAATAAAATAAAATGTACAATTTTCAGTTTTTTAGTAAATTCACAGAGCTGTGCAATCATCATCACAATGTGTTTGAACATTTAGAGCATTTTCATCACTTCCAAAAGAAAACCTGTGTCACTTCCCATTTCCCCCCTAATTTTCCAGGCCTAGTTGAAGGCTGGAGCAGTAGTCTACTAATCTGTTTTCTGTCTCTATAGATTTGCCAATTCTGGACATGGCATATTAATGGAATCATACTTTATGACTGGCTCCTTTAACTTAGCATAATGTTTTCTAGTTTCATCCATATTGTATGAGTACTTCATTCATTTTTATGGCCTAATGATATTCCATTGTATGGGTATATTACTTTTGTTTTTTCATTAGTCAGTTTTTGGGTGATTTCTACTTTTTTTTTTGCTATTATGAATCATGCCTCTGTGAATATTTGAGTACGTTTTTGTGTGGACATATGTTATCAATTCTGTTGGGTGTATATCTAGAAGCAGAATTTCTGGGTCAGGGTAATTTTATTTTTAGCAGTTTGAGGAACTGCCAGAATGTTTTCCAAAGCATATTAAATTCCCACTAAGTAGTGTATGAGGGTTATAATTTTTCTATATCTTTGTCAATACTTCTTGTCATTTGTCCTTTAAATGATAGATATCCTAGTGTGTGTGAAGTGTTATTTCATTGTGGCTTTAATTTGCATTTCCCTGATTGCTAATGATGTTGAGCATTTTTTCATGTGCATTTGCCCATTTGTATCTCTTCTTTGAAGAAATGTCTTTTTAGGTTTTTTTGGTCCATTTTTAAGTTGGATTATTTGTCTTTTTATTATTGAATTGTAATAGTTCTTAGTTCTTTATGTATTCTGAATATTAACTCTTACAGATATATTTGCAAATATCTTCTCCCTCCCTTTAGGTTGTCTCTACAACACAAAAGACAAAAGTTTTTAATTTTGATGAAGCCCAATTTATTTTCCTTTGGTTGCTTGTGCTTTTGGTAGCATATACAAGAAGCCATCCCCTAATCCAAGGTCAAGAAGATTTATGCGTATGTTTTCTCCTGAGAGTTTTAGCTCTTACACTTAGGCTTCTGATCCATTTTAAGTTAATTTTCATATGTTCTGAGGTAGTGATCCAAATTCATTATTTTGCAATGTGGATATCCAGTTGTCCCTGCAACATATGTTGAAAGACTTCTTTCACCGTTTCATTCTTGGCATTCTTGTTGAAAATTATTGATGTGTGAGGGCTTACTGATTTACTTCTGAACCTCTAGTCTATTTAATTTGTTTATATCCTTATTCTCTATGCTTATGCCAGTAGGGCCATTTTATTTTAAAGAAAAATCATAGAAGGATCATTCCTTAACTCAAAGCAACTGAAGTCAAGGGTCAGAATTAGCTACTCCTCCCCATCAATTTAGAACTTTCAGCAGCCATCAATAGCCATCAAGATTGTGTCCAATGGGATCGTTGTTTTGTTTTGCTCCCCCCTCAAATCAAGGTCATGTGTTCGCGTGTGACTGATTAACCAAAAATGTTAGCTCGAGCGTAAGAAGCACTGATATTCAACTCAATTTATTTCGGGAAGTTGACGAGCAAGGCCAGGAGACAATAGAAGTTCTTGGTTCAGCCTTCAGAAACGCGCAAGGTGTCGGGGAGGGAGGAGTCTGGGCTGTCAGTCCTGTCCCAAACATTGATCCTGAGGACCAGGAACTTTTCCCCTGGTTTCGGGATTGAGGTGCAGGGTCTGGGCTTCAGTGGAACAGGCGAGAAGGCTGTTCATTCACTCGCGCGACCACCAGTAAAGCCGCTCCCGAGCCCCCCGTTTCGGGGTAGCCTCCCACCCGTTTTCCCGCCTCGTTGCTGTTCCCGTCCCAGCGCCTAGCGGAAGTGACGCATGCCGTAGCGGAAGCCCCTCCAGCCGCGGTGTTGTGCTGTAGGGAAGAGAGACGGATTTGTAAACCCCGGAGCGAGGTTCTGCGTACCTGAGGCCGCTGCTGTGCGGAGACCCCGGGTGAAGCCACCGTCACTATGTCTGACCAGGTACCGGGCCGGCAGCCGTCCGATGGCGGTGGCTGGGGCCTTCCTTGGCAGGTCCGCCTGCCGCTGGGCTGGGGCCAGGGATGGAGGCGCGGGGGAGGGGAGCGCAGAATGGGGGAGGGGGCGGCCGGTGGGGACTCGGCGGGCGAGGGAGGGGAGTGGACTAGGGCCGGAGACGGCGGGGCCTGCCGCGTGCCTCCGGGAGCCGTCCTGCCCGTCCCCGGGCTCGCTCCTCACCCTCTGCCACAGCGTCTCTGGTCGCGGCCTCCCTCGAGTCGTCCCCCTTGCAGAGCCCAGCTTCTACCTCCCTGGGAGGGTGGGTCCCTGGGGAACCCGTCTGCCTCCCTCTGTAGAGGACTGATTGCAGAAGCAGGGCCCTAGGCCCCAGTTATGTAACGGGAGAGAATCTGCCCGGGAGGCTTCGTGGTCCTGAAAAGCGGGTGGACTCCACTTTTTGGTTCTCGATTTTTGTATAGTCCTGGAGTGGGGATGTTGGGGTGGGGAGGGGAGGGAGACATTGTCTAGTGTTTCTGGGAACCTAGAAAGCTCTGCTTTCCGTTCGGATTGCAGCGGGGGCCGGGCCGCCACTGCCCTTTTCTGAGTCTTTTTCCGTGTGGGGGCGCAGAGCTGTCGCCTCTTTTCTTGTACTTTTCCATTTCTTACTCGGGATTGGTTCAGCAACTCTCCATTTGTAACAGAGCACTCAGAATAACCAAGAAACAAAGTAGAACAAAACCTCTCGAGCAACAGAAAACATTTCCTCTGGGCATTAACCTGAAGATAACTGATACTTTGGAGGAAAAGGATAAGGAATACCGTGTATATATTCGTAGAGCAGTTGCAGAACATTTACAGAAAGCTGCCTGTTATGGCAAAGTGCTCCTTCTTAATGTTAAAATCAATAATTTACTTGGGATTTGCACTTAATCAGGAGCGTTCGGTTTTCCGTGGTAAGTTTTTTTCTTCCTCTTCTTTTTCTAGTTAACCACATTTATGGCTCCTTTTTAATTAGTAGGGTTTTTGTCTGGTCTTCTGTTTTGCTTGCTCAGACGACTTTGACTTTTCAAAGTATTTTTAGAACTTTGCTTGTTTAGCGATAGTTATCTAGAAAACTTTTTTTCAGTCAACTCCATAATGTACTTGAACTTTTAAATTTAACACACTTATTCTCTTGGCATTTAACCCAGTTCAGTTTTGTATCACTTGGTGAGAGCAAGTTTGGCTTTTGTGGATTTGTACTATTGTGCAAAATGTACGTTTACATTTTTAAAGTTTAACCATAATCTAGATTAGTTTTGGGATCTTATTACTAACAGTCTAGGTTAATTCCTAAATTGGTATTGGAATGGCATTATAAGTATCTCCCTAGATAGTTGTTTACTTAGTTACCAGGGAGGAATGAACAGGTGTAAATGCTTAGTTTTCATCAGCCTTTTATTTTGATGCTCAGAAGTGACTAGGAAGCATGTTGAAATTTACTGTAGCCTGTTGAAAGAGTAATGTACAGAAAGAATTATAAAGTAAATTGTAAAATTTATTGCTCTAATTTGAAATCTGGTCATTTAGAAAAACACGAAGGAAGAAATAAAGGACCTAAGACACTAACAGGTGGTTTTAGGACAGAGGTTCTTTAAATTCTTTTCTAGGGGTCCTCAAAATTATTTTCATGATAATACAAGGACGTTATTGGTCTTTTTCATTCTGATTCTTGCATGAATGTTCAGTGGAGTTTTCTAAAGACTAACATGACACAACAGATTGAACTGTAGAAGGAGATGTGTGATAAGCCAACTGCTTTCTATTAAGCCAGACATTAAAGAGATGTGCAAAAATGTGAAACAATGCCACTCATCTCACTAGTTTTGTTCTGAGGACTTTTTAATAAAAATGTTATTTGCTAATATATGAAGGGTTTATTTTTAAATGAATTAATAAATATTTAAAACATTTCTCAGTTTTAATGTCTTAACACTATAAACCTCAATAGATATAACCAACCCCTAACAAAAATTTTATGGGGGTTTAAATAATTTTTAAGAGCATAAAGGAGTCCTGAAACCAAAAAGTTTGAGAACTATTCTAGTCTGGTAGACCATCATTGTTAACAATTGGGTCTCAGTACAATTTCATGTTGGGTGCTAAGGATTTAAAGAGGTATAAAGTTGAACTCTTATCTTTAAGAGGCTTATGAATGGGAGTAAGAATCCCAAGTTACTACTGTGCAGGATCAGCAGCATGAGTCTGAACCACTGCCCCCAAAAGACAATCTTTGTTTAAACAAAGTTTTATTAGAGTGATGTCTTTTCTGAGGTACCTCTCAGGAGGTTATTGTCTGGTGCTAAGATATTGAAATTGAGTAATAATTTCAGGTTAAAATAGGAGGACATTAAATTCACACAAGACTTAATTTGCTGGGTTCTCCATAGATTAATGAATATTATTTTTGGAATTTGAGTGAAACACTATTTTTTTTTAATTTTTGTTTTTTAGCTGAGCCATCCTGCCACCTGTTGGCAGCTCAGCTTGGGTCGGGAGTCCAACCGACGACCCTGTTGCTCAGAGCTCACACTCTTGAGCAAGCTTTTAACCAGCTGAGCCACTTGGCTGGCCCTAGTGAAACACTTTTTATTAATTTTAACAGTTCTAGCATTGTCCAGTGGATGATTTGTGGACCATTATTAAATAGTCATCTCAAACAGGTTCTAAACCCAAGTTTCATGGACCTAAAGGGCTGAAAATTCACTGATATTGTTATGGGGTGTATTGTGAGTATTTGTGCATGTGTTTTTTCTTTTTTCTTTTTTTTTTAAGGGAGAAATGGACCATAGCTTTCATCAGGGATACATGATCCTTCAAAACGGTTAAGGAGACCCCAGGATATTCAGACTTATGGCAGCTCAGGGCCCACAGAGAGAGTGAGTTGTTCCCAGAGAACCCCGGGTGGAAACCTCAAGCCTTCTAGGATCTAGCCTTGAAAGTCATGTCTGCCTTCTGTTGGTCAGGCAGATCACTAAGTCCAGCCCAAATCAAGGGAAAGGCACTTACTTACTGACTTATTTATTTTTTATTGAGATATAATCACAGATATTAGTTTCAATTGTACAGTATAATTTGATATGTGTATAAATTGCAAAATGATTACATTAAGTCTAGTTAGCAGTCATCACCACACAGTTACAATTTTTTTCTTATAACTTTAAGATCTATCTTAGCAACTTTTAAAATACATATACAATACAGTATTAACTATAGTAGTCATCAAGGGAAAGGCATTTAGAGTCCCTTCCTCAATGGGAAGAGTAACAAAGGATTTGCAATTATCTGTAATCTACCACATTAATTGTATTTCTTCTGTCAGGTTAGCAGTGTTCCCTGCAGTATTCTTTATATTTCCCTGTTGATGTTTATTGAGCTTACTGTCAGCTTGAGATAGCAGGAGAATATGATGAAGTAGGTGTATATTAAAGTTTATAATTATGTATACTATTTATATCAGAATAAGTATGCTAAACTAGCTGTGACTGGAGCATGTAGTGATACATTAAGCATTTTCATGCCTTAGAGAGGAATGATACACTCTATTTTCTCTCCGATAGATATAATGAGGTGCTGCTAGTGGATGTTGCAAACATAGATTATGATAAAGCATTTCAAAGAAAATGTCACTTAGGGCCGGCCAAGTGGCTCAGCTGGTTAATTAGCTTGCTTGGGAGCGCCAGCTCTGAGCAGCAGGGCTGTGGTTCAGATCCCACATTGAGGGCCAGTGATGCTTGCCCTCTGCAGCTAAGATGATGAACAACAGTTTGACCTGGAGCTCAGCTGCTGTGAGTCGCCGGCGACGGCATAGGCAGCATAGGCTGCAGCGGGGCTGCAGTGGGCTGCCGTGAGCTACCTGAGCGGCTGGCAGCCGGTGTGAGCAGCTGGCAGCCGGTGTGAGCAGCTGACAGCCGGTGTGAGCAGCTGGCAGCCGGTGTGAGCTGCTGGAAGCTGCTGTGAGCGGCTGACCAATGACCGGCGACCGATTGCCTCACCCTGGAAGAGCACAGTGATCATACCAACACTAGACTGAAGAACAAAAACAGCAATTTGTCTACCTATCTGTTCTCCTTCCCAATTCCCCAATAAAATCTTTACAAAAAAAAATAAAAAAATAAAATGTCACCTAAACAATATTTCATAATATTTTGAGAACAATATGATTGTTACGGTTAGAATACTCATGAAAGTTAGTTGAATAGTTCAAATTTCAAAACTGTAAAGCAGTCGTAAAATGTCTTGACATACATTAAGTCCTTATAGCAGTTAGAATGTTTCTATTTTAGCTTTCATATATAGTGTTATAGTTATTTACTTAAATGCCTGTCTCCATTAGACTGTTCACTTTCGGAATCATCCTTTATTCATCCTTTATTTCTGACGTGTCCAGCACAGTGACTGGATGTGTAGTAAAAGTTTTTGAAGGAATGAGTTGTCAGATTCATTCATTTAACAGTTCTTTATTGAACGTCAGTATGTTCAAGGCACCGTTTAGACTCTTGAATTGGAAGGTTGCCTCAAAAACATGAAACAGCATGTATCTTCCTCCTCTTACTCTTTCAATTCCCATGTTTTGTTACTGAGGCAGCGTGTTGGTTGTCATGGAGTAGTTTACCTTTTCTGATGTTTTTGCGTAGCTTCTTGCTCTTCTTTTAGCAATAATTACCTGATAACTTTATCTCTAAGATCTAATCATTTGCTCCTTTCAGGACATTGGGATTGTTACTGATAATTTTCTCTAAGACTTGTTTAGTATCCCATTTGGAATATACTGAAATTGTGACTTAATTATTTATTTTTGGTAGATCATTTTCTGATAGTCAACTTATTTAAAAAAGTCACATGGGTAAGTTCACACAGATCCTTAGTGTGAACTTTTTGAACACCTTAGTTTTACAGTTTCCATTTTGGATATTCCTGCAACTTGACTTGGGTTTATTTAAAGATATGTCGTATTTTTAAATACTTTTTAATTTGACTATTCTTTTTGCATTCATTTGCCTTTACTGAGCTAATGAGAATCTGAAGGAAAGACCTGAAGGAAGGAAGGGTGGAGTTGTTTGTTGGACTTGCTGTTCTCAATATCTAGGGCCAGTTATTTTTAAAGATTTTACTGAAGGTTAATAGATGTAAAAAAAAAAAAAGTGCACATAAATGTACTGTTTGCTGAATTTTCACAAATTGATCACATCCATGTAGCCAGCACCCAGATTAAGAACCAATCTCCTAAATGCTAATACACACATTAGTTTTGCCTGTTTTTGTACATTATAATATTATATAAGTGGAACCACACCATATGTACTTCTGTGTCTGATTTCTTTTGCTCAATGATTGTTTAGAGATTTGTGTGTTAAATTTCATTGCTATATTGCATTCTATTATGTGACTGTACCACAATTTACTTACCCAGTCTGCTTTTAATGCACATTTGAGGTAGTTTCCTAGGACTTTTTTTTAACATAAGCCAAATGATACGTATTTATAGCACCTTCTATGTCAGTTTGAATTGCTTTTAGACTGAATAACAGATCTGATATGTTAGGTTAAACAAATATGCAGCTTTTCTCATGAAATAAGAAGTCTCATGAAATATCGTATTTCCTCATGTGTAAAATGCACCCTTTTTTGAAAAATTTGGGGTCTGAAAACTGGGTGCGTCTTATACAGTGGTTGTATGAGCACAAAAACAAGTGCGAAAAAAAGCGGGAAATTCAGGTAAAAAAACCCAAAACAACCACTGTATAAGACGTACCCAGTTTTTAGACCCCAAATTTTTTGAAAAAGGGCGCATCTTATACATGAGGAAATACGGTAGTTCAGGGCTGGTAAGGCAGTTCCACAGTGTCTTCATACTCCTTTCTCCTTTGTCCTTAACAGATGTCTTCACTCTCATGCTTGTCTCCTTGCAGTCACAAAAAGGTTACTTTGTGTCTTTCTGTTCCAGGCAGGAGAAGGAAGGAGCAAAGGGAAAGAGTATGCCAAAAGTATGTACCAGCAAAAAGTATGCCATCTTTTATTTCATTGGCCAGCACTGTCACGTGGCTGTAAGAGAAGCTGAGAAATATGTTTTTTAGCTGGGCAAATTTAAATTTCCTTTTGTAAGGAAAGGGGAAATGGATATTGGATAGGTAATTAACAATGTCTGCCATACCTCTAAATCTGTCTGCTAGTACTTTTGGATATAGTCAAGCCAGTTTGTTCGAGGTTTTGCTAGGTCCGTTGTCTAGACTCAAAGAGGAGGTTTTACAAAACCAATGTGATTTTCAGTTATAATTTTTAGTTTCTCAGAAGTCCTTTGTGCATATCTAATGTTTAACCACAACTCTGGGGTTGAATGTAAATTTACAGAAGACCCAGTATCTTGACAGCTTGACTTAAACCTTGAAGTTATAGAACTAAATCTGGTCAGTTCCATTCCCAATCTCTAGTACTGTCTCATTAAGTCTGAACATATGCCACATAAAGATGAAAGTGTATGTGTATTTTTGTTTTTAGAATTGTGGTAAATCCACCAAAATATGAGGGAGATGACTTTATTGTAATGGGGTTTGTATCTTTTAGTATATGTGCTGCTGAAGCGAGCACAGGGTTTGTATCTTTTAATAATGGATATAAATATTAGAATTATGCAACTTAACCCTTATTGAGCTTTTTTCATTAGGAAATAAACTGATGTATTATTGGGTCGTTGGGAAAGTCATGACGTATTTTTCTATGTTTTTCAATGAAAAAATGTGTCGTGACTTTCCCAACGACCCAATATAATAAGACCCATATAATTAACAGATTTTTTGGAAGCTTTTTTTTGGTTTTGTTTGTTTTTTTAAAGATTTTATTGGGTAATTGTGGAAGGGGAACAGCCAAGTTGTTGTCCTTCAGTCTTAGTTGTGGAGGGCACAGCTAGCTCAGCTTTAAGTCCAGTCACCATCCGGCTGCCCGTCGGCAGCTCATGTAGCCCACTATCCCATGTGGGAGTAGAACCAGCAACCTTGTTGTTAGGAGCATGTGCTCTCACCAGCTAAGCCACCCTGCCACCGGTTGGCAGCTCAGTGGCAGCTCAGCTTGGGCGCAGCTCACTGGTCCATGTGGGAATCAAACCGATGACCCTGTTGCTCAGAGCTTGCACTCTTTTTTTTTTTTTTAAGATTTTTATTGGGGAATTGGGGGATGGGAACAGCGCTGGGGAATTGGGGAAGAGGAACAGACAA